AGTATAAGCGCAGTGCGCGAGCAACATTTTCCTGCACCTGTGAGTATAAGCGCAGTGCACGAGCAACATTTTCCTGCACCTGTGAGTATAAGCGCAATGCGTGAGCAACATTTTCCTGCACCTGTGAGTATTGAGGGTAATACACACAAATGCGCACTGTTTCTGCAAATTTCCTCTAATTTGGGCTTTGTGTACCGTTAGAAAACTTGCCTTTTTGACCTGATTATTAGATATGCTGTAGCACAGAAAGACCTTACTAATGAAATATCCTTTCTTCATTTCCAGGACTGACTGACTTAGCAGTTCATGTTTGACGGAAGTTTCGCTTTCACGACTGGAACAGTTTCCATCGATGAGAGTATTATTTTCCAATTTCCAGTTACACTGTTACATGTACATTATGTATACATGTACAGTGTTTTTGTATGCACCAGTCTGCCGAATTTCAAAATCCAACAGTGCTTGACAGAAGACTTGGAAGGTAAAGCTCATAAGGACTGTCACAGAGTTACACTGAACAATTGTTGACTGCGTCATGGTGTTTATAAAACCTGAGGGACCCACAGCCCAAGGCAAGCCAAGGGCCCTATGCGTACCCTAGGGTTTTCCAAACCTCATATCCCACATCACAGCAGTTAACAATCGCTTTGTCAGAGTTGTCTCTGTCTTGATGTTTCTCACTTGTTTCTATGAGGGAAATTAAGGGCCACAAAGGAATCTTTTGATATTAGCCATTAGCGGTTGCTGCATTTTCCTGTACACTGCAGGGGCATGTATGATGCATGTGATATTACATGTGTACGGTGCTGGCAAATTTGGTGTCTAACGGTGCGTGTGACATGCGGTCATGTTGCCCAGTCAAGTGATTGTTCTTGGCCAGTGAAAAAAGCTGTATTTTTTTGATAAAACCAAATCATCACATACAATCAGAGCCCAACCCCACAGCATTAATCATGTCTCAAGTCAGGTCCCAATATGGACCATAACCAGAGTATTCTGTTGCAAATTGTTACCTCCGGATACTTGTGACTCACTGTGATTACCTCGTGATTGACCAGCATACAACTCGAATATGTTACTAAAGATCTCTTCCACTTTGACTGATGCAATCTAGTATTTTAAGTCATTTTTGCTTGAGTATTTTCAAAACTAATGAATGTTTAAATGATCTGCTCATTTGTCAATTAAAAAAAAAAACAAGATATTGGAAAGAGGCTTATATCTAAGCCATGAATATTGGAATAAGCCCATCTTCCCTCCAACTGCAACCCCCATCCCCCCAATAAAAACCAGTAAAGCCATCCTCAATTCTTACATCTACAGGTACAAACCAAGCCAATGTCTCGTCCACACCTAGCCCCAAACCAATCAACCCCTGGTATCCAGCGAGCTGTCAAAACATTGCATTCCTGAGACACCTGCAAACAGGGAGCGAAAAGGTGTGCAAATATGTCCCTTCCCTCCCCCATCCATGCAGACCCTCCCCCTTACCGGTACTTCGGTCAGGGTTATGCAGGTGAGGCAGTAACAACCAGTGCTCTGGGGTGAGTCAGTCAAGTCTTGGTATTTTGCTCCAATTATCAGCAAACTCGCTGAAGGTTGGACATGGCGGGATATGATGTATTTTGGTTGTGGGCAAGATATTTTGTTGTTCCTGTCAAAAAAGAAAAAAAAATGTGCGGTTTATGTAGAGCATCTGAGTAGTGGGTCTTGTAGGTGTTGTTGGATACAGCAAGGTTCAGTACAGGCCCTACATGTCATAACATTGTCATCTGTAATCTTAGACGAGTCACTGAATTTAAGGCACGACTGTATGCATGTACATGTACATGTACTTCTCTGCAGAGGACACAAAGCTTCATGAGAAAACACACATACACCTGTATGTCTGCCTTTTAGTTTATAGGGAAGTTTATCAAAAAATTGAAACAGGAAAATTGCTAGAAAGGGCTCTGAAACTATGAAGAGCAGGTTGGAAATAACGAGTTTGAAGTTTTTGTGTTTTGATAAATTATCAAAGCTTGTGACAAGGAATACATTTTTGGTCACTGTGTTAAACTCCCGAGAAGGCAAGCTACCGGTAGGCTTACATGTACACGGAATGGAATAGTTTTTCTGTTCCAAGTCTGTGAAGCTTTCAGAGCACAGGAATACTTCAAAATCTTTCTTTTCCAGTCTGTTCTGCATTATGCCAGAACAAATTCTAACATGTTTTCCAAACTTTCAAAAGAGCATCCAGTTGGGGTGAGGTAAACATGTTTGTCCTTCACATTGCTGGATCAAAGAGGAAAAAGGTCTATTGTGTTCCTCAGCACACACGCTGAAACTTTGTTTAGTACAACTTTGTGGCATGTGGAGTCACAGGTTTGATGACAAGCAATAGGGAATGCACAATGACGAGGGAAATACTTTTTATTTAAGAGTTCATAAAGAGAAGCTTATGACTTGAAGTGAGACTATGTGGTACTGGATAGACTTGTTATGAACTTCTGAAAACTGGACTGAATGCATCACTGGTGCTGATGAATGCCATTAATTTTGTAGCTGTCATGTGTAGCCTTGAGCCCAGAAGAGAATCAGATGTGAGTACTATGTCTGTACGTGTTACGATTATGGAAGTCGTACCACACCCTAAAGTTATCGCAGCAGAGCTTTGGGCATCCTTGTAATATCAGTATTCATTGGTGTCGTTCCCACAGTTGACAGGCCTGTCATTTTTCAGTCATTTCAGGAATTAGGTTTCACCTGCTTGCTAATTAGCTTGCAACATGTGTTGCACCTCCAGCCGTTCTGTCTCTGAAACTCCGCCCAGGCTGCTGGCTCTTGGCATACCTGGCTGTCGGAAGGTGCGGGTCATCGTCCGAAGAGTACTTGCCCCCGGAAACTTGAGATAGAAACTAGTTTGCAGACTGTTATAATATACAGGTAGCGTACTACACGCGTGACCTGCTTCTGCAGAAAAGACAAAATAATAACAGGGCTGCAGTTTTCCAGAGGGCATGAGAATTCTGTCCCGTAGTCTGGAGCCAAATGTTGGTCTCGCTGGGATTGGAAGCTCGGAAGCCCCAAGACTAGTCCAGGATTGAATGTAAGAAGCCCTGAAACAAGCCGCCCGTCATGATCTGGAAAAGATACACCAAACTGTTGTTTTTTCCTTTTGAATTCTGTCTCCGAGGGGTGTAAGTATTAGGAGATTTTTTCTGTTGTTTTGGAGCAGACACTAGGTGTATTAGTTTCAAAAGTCAACACGACTAGAGCGTCAAGAGGACTGGGGCACGCAGGGAGGAAACAGTTCCAAAAACATCAGAGATGTGAAACGTGGTGAGAAGATTTGTTCATTCGGCAGCTGAACAAGTGATACATTTCTCATTCTTTGTTTTGTTTTTTTGGTTTTTTTTCCCTTTAAGAAGGCAACCAGAAATTGGTCACACCGGTGTTGACTTTCAGCATTGTGCAAAGATGATTCTGCAGGGACTATGTCTGTGCCAATCATACATATATGTGTACATGTATGGCCTTAAGACAGCTCTGTTGTGGTTGAAAAGACAAAGCCTAGCCTCAAACCCTAAACCTCTTAACACTCTTCTTGTGCAAGAAACTTCCTTGAATCCTCCAAATTCTTCAAAAATCAGGAACTGTTTTGTTAGGTAACTGATGAAACATTCTTTATACTTCAACTTTACACAGACACGATGTTTCAGCAAATTCTCCCTTCCTCATTCTTCAAAATCCTCAAACACCTCATTGACTTTTGAAAGATTGACTTGTGGAGTAAAGCTTAAAGGATGCACTGCGCCAAATAGAAACATTATGGAGAGAAAACTAAACAGCATGCTTCATTAGAGAACAACTTGATCATCACAGTGAAGCTTCCATGTGACCACTGCCCCTTTTGTGGATCTCACCAAATATTGAGGGTCTCAGTGGTGACAAACAGAGTTTCTTTTTGATGAGACCCCGCTGGGAATCCGCATGTACCTTAAAAACGGTAACAGCGGAAATTCCTCATAAGTGTTTTCAGTGTGGCCCCCCACCGGCTACTTCTTTTAAACCCTATCTCTCCTGTTTCCCTCCCTAGTGAAATCCCAGCCCTCACTCAATCTGAGCACTGCCCGCCCCACAGTCTCCAGCAGGAATGTAAATTGATGCTGACCAGTCTGCCCAGCCCTCATCTTGTCTTCCCTGCCAAGGGTTTCACAGCCCTGTCTTGTCAAGAATGAGGTTGAAACCTCCCCCTGGGTTGGGTGACACTGATACACAGATGTCCTGTGGATTGCTCCCATGTTGTTATACAGGATGACCTTAGTTGACCTCAGCTGCCAAACTGGTCTTCTTGATCATTTGCCTTTGGGTTGATGAGACCAGCAGAATTTTTGTCTTGTTAATCACAGTAAACAGACCGGTTATTCTCATTTTTAGTTCTGAATGGAGAATTGGACCTTTTTTTTTAGCTTTAATCTTGCTTGCCCCTCAAGCCCTTATATGAACTCTAAGTTCCATGAATTTGCACTGCTTTAAACCAAACATTTTTAATTCAACCTAAATGTGTAAAGAATGGTCACACAGGCATAAATGTACCTGCGCGTGGAAAATCTGAGCATTTCTTTTTCTGAGTTTTTGCTGAATGTTTAGTTTGGCCGGATGGAGTCACGCAGGAGTTTGTGTCAATTTCCGAGATGGCAAAGTTGATATCTGGACCAGATTTTCATCTGGACTTCGTTGTCCCTTATCAGAAGATTCATGCACTCTGTGTTTACTCATGTCAGCTACATCCCACACCAGTACGACATCACACAGTGTCATATCAGGCTTGCTTTTGTGTTGTAGGGGGGGATGGTTTCCGCCGAGTCTTGAAGCCTCCCTGCTGCTTACCCTGCCAGAAGGCTGGCCCGCCTCCTGTTTAGAATTCCCCAACAAATGTGTTAATTGGGGACCAGCCGGCGAGCTATCAGGGGCTCGTAGTGAGTTGCCTGTGCTCATTACAGGCACCCCCTACTGTCCGACCGTCAGCATCAAGTCCAGGACCTGTCGAAACTGACACCTCCGTTTATTTTCGTAACAGTTGTCGGAGTCCTAAGTAAATTTGAATTTAGTTTAAACTTGTACTGATTGGGAGAGGGATTTAGTAACCATTCTTTTTAGTAGATTCTTCAGGATTCTATAACACCTACTGTTGACTGAAATTGCAGTGAGTAGCAGCGAGGAGGAAAGTGGAGGAGAATTGATCTTTATCTTACAAAGAAATGATTTAATGGCAGTCTGTAGTCAGATGGACAGGGGAAGGGATAAAAGGAAGGTGACACAATTAGACATGCTGTATAGTTCATCAGTCGTAGAGACTGCACTGCAAGGATGTTGGTGGATTGTTGTACATTGAATCGGTCAAGTTCACATGTGGAATTATATGGTCTGCCAGTTTGCTAACATTCCTTTCTCTGAGTGCACACAATTTATTGTCTTTAGAAGTGGTCACCTTGAGAGAGATTTGTACCTCTGCTGGTAACATGAAATTTCCCTATCGCATCGCTAAACGTCACAGGATGTTCTGACTCCTGGCCACGGAACTGACAACCTGTCAAATCGCCTCTCAGGAATTCCTAACCTGCTGCGTAACTCCACTGTAGTTCCAACCTGATCAGTGCCAAGACTAATTAGTCCCTCCTGTAAGGAGAGTGACACCTCTTCCCTCCTCCCAAGTCCGCGATGGGGCAAGGCCCTCTACCCCGGGCCTACTGGTCACAGCCCACATACCGAGTACCTTGAAACATGCTCAACTTTCTCATGGCCACTTGTCAAGTTGCCCGACTTAAATTTCAGGTATAGCATTAGTGCGCACGTCTATGTACTTACAAATACATTACATCAGGCATGTCTGTACGCAGTGCCAAGACAGTGTTTTATACAGATACATTACATAGGCCTAGTCACTCTAAGCCAAACACATGGTATTCCGAACAGCTGCTGGATGGTGGCTGTGAAAGCTGTACATGAATATGGGTAATTCCAAAAATTAAGGGTCCATTAGATTCCATTTTATGTTGTGTCCCTGTCACATCCGACGTATGATTTTGTAAGTTCAGAACACATTTTATAATTTCCAAGAGTGATGAATTAATGCAAATTACCTGCCAAACAAACAGTAGCCTAATAGTTTGAAATCAATTCCGGTGATATTTCCATGTCAAGTAACAAAGGTCAGATCTAACGGGGACATAAAAATTGTCACTTTTGGACCCCTAATTTCTGGAATTACCCATATGGAACATGCTGTATGCAGAAAATAATTATTACCCTACATGGACACCATTAGATCACTGCAGATGCACATTTTACACATAGCCACATATATGTACAGTAACCCTAGCCCACTTCAATTCCATCTGCATCATGGCTGGAATGAAGAACTTACCATAAATGAATGATGTCAGTGTTCCAACAATGCATGCCCAAAATTAAGGGCATCACAGGCTGTTTAAAGTTTCTATACTGGTACCTGCATGCGAGTTGACTCATTAACAGTGACCGCGTGTACACTGATTACAAG